CTTGATATTTAGTTTGGAACACGACAGAACCAGAACTTGAACTGGATGACTATGATACACAGTTTATGTTGATGTTAAAAGTTCCGCCACAGAATTGTGCATTGGCAAACATGCCATGCAACTGCAGTACTTCACTAATGGGATGACTTTCGTCGACAGCGGTTGTTGCTTGCTGGTCGTGGATTGACTGAATTTTGGTTACCGGTTAAAATGCTCTTTTGGCGTTTTTATTTGGAACTGAGTAACGCCGCAACGTCGCCAGCAGAAACCTGGTATCTCGATGTTGATGGTTGCGGCTGCATAGTAATCTCAGTTTCCAGGTGGTCAACATACATTAAGTTCTCTCAATCGTAGTATTCCATGTGATGTACACCTAACACGCAAAAATGTTGCCTGACGATTCGAACCGGACAAAAATAGCAGACGAAAATGTGTTTACGTACCTCAAGAGAAAAATATCGTACTTTTTAATATTGTTTATTTCTGCTATGTTTCAAAAAACGGTACTCCTGAAGGGACTACTTTGTTTGCTCTCAGACCTCATTTGCATATGAGGTGTGGAAATACCGATTTTGATTTCAGGGACGAATCAAAATAAACTGCAGTACATATGTAATAATTCTCATTAACATTATAGTTTTTAAGTTTTTTTTAGAAGCAGTAATGAAATTGGAAAAATTCTTGTCTCATGCATTACATGTGGTTTGTGATAGTTGAGTACATTTAATGGTTCTGGTGTGCAAAATGAAACAAAGTGAATAAGATAACATGTAGACAAGTGTACAGTGGGAAATGTATCGTACATACTTTATACAGGTCAATGAACCCCTTATTAGTATTAGTTTTAAAGTCGCTGCATGTCATATTATTGACTCTAGATTATTCTGTTTACACTGAGGACAATCCACTTATACAACAACATAACACTGGTTAGTGTGTGGAGAGTTTATACAATGTTAGTAGTCACTCTGGGTTTAGATCATATGTGTTCAGGTCACAAAGGGGTACAGGTCACAAAGGGTCGAGGTTACAATGGGGTTCAGGTCCAGGTAACTTGTGCTATATGTACAATGTTGTCATTATACAGACATAATGATTTGAATTCACACCGTGTGTTCTTGTCTGCTCATTTTAGTGAGGTGTACGTTTTTATTACAACGAGTATATTATGCAATGACAGAAGCAAAGTAGGATTACACACCCGTCAAATAAAGCATGGTCCTCTACTTGCACGGTTAAAAATAATGATCCTTCTCGGATTTTTCCTGCTTACTACATGGCTTCAAAAGTGAGCTGTTTTTTTATCGTTTAGCGAAAATCAAACTTTCGTTGTGAACTATTGATTTTAGCAACAATTTTGTCGCATTTTGTTTTTATTTTTGTTTTTTCATAGTTTTATTTTGAGATAGCATAGATACATTTTCCAACATGTTTCCCAATTTTAAATTTATTCATTGACTAATTATCTTTCTATAAGTCAGTTTTCTAATCCAATATGGCACTGTATAAACAGTTGTGGAGAATAGTTTGATGATTTGTTTTGTGCTACAATTCTGTCCCTCTATAATAGACATCCCTGTGAATTGGGGAAATAATTTAAATATACACTTTACTTATTTAACCTGTAGATACGTAATTCCAGCATCGGAGTCCTATAGATAACAACTGAACACAAAATATCAACACACTGAATTCAAACAGTCGTAAAGCGACTTTAAAATATGAAGGTTGACAGTTTCAGTGTTAATAAATAAATGATGATTAAATAATCAATATGTAAATTCGTTAAATACACTAGAATTACAATGAAGTGTTACATAACACACTACATTAGAACTGTGAGTGAAGGTGATACAGAATCCACAGTTTTTATACAAATGGAATAGCATGGGTATGTACAAAATATTCAAAACAAGACATGAATGTCACAGTCCCCGTTATTTGATTATAAAGTAGTACAAGGAACATCTGCAAACAGGTGAATGAATATGTATTCTATGTGGGTACAACTCATCATAAAGTGATTGTCGGAAAATCTGTGTAGTTGTTGTATTATCTCAAACGCTGCCGCCATCAAACAGACTCTTACCGCATATTGTTCATGGCTGGTATTAGTAGATGGATTACGCAACATCCTGTGTGTAGATAGTTTTAATGCCGCCTTTCATGTCTGAGTTTATATTTAGTATTAGTAGTAGTTGTTTACTTCAACTGTATAGACAACACGTGTTAATTATTTCTGTATTACTGAGAAATAAATCAGTCCTTCTTCAGGTTTGAAACAGTCAAAATCGCCTCGTTTTACTCTCTCGCACACACATACGTCGAACCTTTTCCCACATTAGAATTTTTGGTGCCGAGACCAGGATCTTGAACTGAAACAGAGAGTAAACCAAGACATCATCGATATGGCAGAAACTGACGGCCAGAAAGCAAGCAAGAAGCGTAAGGGCAACAGAGGACAGATG